ATTCTCAAGTAAGCATGGCTGGTCTTTGGTGTGACCGAGGTCGCACCGGAGAGGCCGCTTGAGAAACAAATGTGTTTTTTCCGCTTTACCAATGAAGCCTGCAAACAGTTAGACCTTTTGCTAAACCTTTCCGCTTTACCAGGTTTCAGGCTTACAACGGTTAGACTTGCTCAGGGAAGAGCAACCGGGCGCGCCTCAGGACCTCCTCGCGGGACGGCAAGGCCTTCACTAGCCTGGAGGACTTTGTGTCGCGATCCTACGATCAAGGCAGAGGGGAGCTGTGAGAGGGGCAGGATCGATTTTGCCCTTGAAACCCGCCCAGAGCCCTAAAAATCGCAGTCGGTTGGGCATGGCCACGAATATTTGTCAAAGGCCTGAATCTACTTGCAATGCACTTGGCTGCAGGGGAACGTCGCTCGGAGCAGGGCCTGTGAGGGGAGCTGTTCGACGGCGCAACGGTAGATGTTTGGATTCTGAACAAAGAAGAAAAGGTTTGTCGGATGTCATTGTTCTGAGGCTTGCGGCCGTCCGGCCGTCTCTTTGCAGCATCCAGCATCTCCAACTGCCTTGATGAAACACATCACATCACATCAGGTGATTTGATGGGACTTGTTTGTTTGCTTGCTGGTTCTGCCCTCACACCAACTGAGTAAACTGAGCCACTGACAGAACAAATTACTTTGTGAGTTTGACGGACATGAAGACGGTCCCACCAACACCGGGCCGAAGCATCTAATTTTCCCAATGCCCACTTTGGAAAAGGATGAGCCACAATCAAAAGCTGGGTAGCACGGAACAATCCCTTCTTAATTCTTTACGTGGTTCCGAGCTTCCAGGTTTTGATTGAGACTCACATATTTCCAGGGATTGATTCCCCATTATTTTTAAGCATCGTTCTTTTCAACAACCTGTCGTTTTCCCTTGCTTTCTGGAGGTTTTCTGGCAAGGAGGACCCCTGGGTTCAGAATGGGGAAGGTACCCCTATGTCGTCTGGAGCTCACGCCGTCCAAACTTCCCCAGGCTTCGCAACGGCTAACCCGCTGCATCTGCTCGCACAGCTGCGGACTTGGAGGAGCCTCCGGCAAAAGCATCGGCATGAGCGACCGGTCAAGTTCTGCGATCCTGTTGTCATGACCCCCCCCCCCCCAAATTAATGGGCCGATTTCCCAATTCCAAAAAAGGTCAATAGTGAGTCGAGGAAGAGGCCTTTTTTGGTTTGTGTCTAATATTGCACTAAGTGCCTGTCTAAGAACTGTTGTCTAATACCTGTTTTTGTTGTTTTTGGATTCCCCCCCACGCCGTTGTTTGGTCTCATAGGAGTTTGTCCATCCACCGTATGTTTCCCCTGCGACGGTTCTTGAAATACCCTGTGAATCTTGTTGGTCATTTAAAGGGGGGAGGGGTTCTCTAGCGGCGATGTCTTAAGAGGAAGGTGAGCTGTTACTAGAAGAGCCTAAATGATTAGATCGGGGTGTTGGGGTACTTCAAAACTACAAGCCAAGTTGTGATCGCAAGAGAACCGTGCTTGCAAATATTTCATCAATTGTATTTCTAACTCTGACATCCGGTTGCTTAAGGTGATGGTTTATTGTTCCAGTAGATGTTGAAGGGTGTGTGCGTGTTTGCCGCGTCATTAGCGACCATTTATGGAGGGCATTTGCAGTTGGTATCTTGCGATTTCACAGGTGGCCTGGGCAACTTTGAGTGCCCTTTACAGAGGGCCGGTGCAACCAGGAAGGTTCTCCGTTTGGATGAGTGAATCATAGTCGCCCACATGTCAAGTACCGAGACCGAGAGGGCTCAAAGCCCATTCAGCTCGCAAAGGGCAGCGCCTGAAACCCGAAAACCCCAAACTCCCAAAGCCATATGCGAAAGCACCCGCACACATCAAACCGGAAATAATAATAATGATAATGAAAATGATAAGAATAATGATCGAGAAAATGATGATGAATGAAAAAACGAAGGCAAACCCAAAGAAAACAAAACAGCGAGAACCCTCGCAGGACAGGCGACATCCGCCAGGCGCGTGGCCTTCCAGGCACTCTAGCCTCCGTGCTGGGCCGGATCACTGCAAGGCGCGGAGGGCTTCCCGGAAACGATGAGGGGAAGCGGCATGGGTGTCCATTTTGGTTGTTTTGATCGAAAAATAGCATGGGTTTCGATTCCTGGTTTACCTGGTGGTTGAATCATCCACCAGGGAAACCCATCTATTTCCCCTAAAAGGACACCTATGGGAAGCGGATGTGCGAGGCGAGCGTGCACGTCACCTTGTCCCCCATGCACCCCCCGAGTGTCCCTTTCAAGCAGCGCGGCATTGCTAGACTTCACTTTGATTGTTTTTGCCTTTTGGTCTTCCATCATTTTACGTTTCAACCAGCAAAGCATGTTCTTTTGCAGGAGTCGACCTAAGTCTGGTCAAGCAAAGAAGGTGGCCTCAGAAATGTTGCGCGACCTTTCTAATTCACGGCTTTCCTCGAGGCCAAACGCGAAAGGCAATGCTTGGGCGAAGCCGGAAAGGAGTGCAGTGTGTGTGTGTGTGTTTCTTTTCCAGGCCATGTAGCACCAGCTTAGCTCCCATAATATGGAAAGATGGGAGTTTGATCAAGTTGATGCTGGGTGCTTAGCCCTTAGTAAGCCATGCGGATATATATATATATATATAATTATATATATATATATATGCACACGAAGCTCCCCCATACAATTACTGATTCAGAGCCAAGCGAGATTTCCATTGTCCAAGAATGGCCAATGTGCTTATGGGCCAGCAATTTCCCATGGCCTCCTTGCCACGGAATTGATTTATTCGACCATGCGCGCAGGGTCTACTTGATGCCCTGCATCACTGACTCTTACTTTTGCGCAGCGGACATCGTGCCTTGGGGTAAAATCGCCGTCGCAGCTGGTCTGTTGAGGCTTTGCTTCGGGACGCCAGCAAGATGCAAATAAACAATAGAAGTGGTGTGCTTCCTTGTTGGTTTTGACTGAATGCTTGCTTGTTTGTTTGTGTGTTTGTTTGTTTGTCTCTGTCCCTGTCGCTGTCTCTGTCGCTCTCTCTGTCGCTGTCTCTGTCTTTGTCTCTGTCTCTCTTTGTCTGTGTGTTTGTTTGTTTGCTTGCTTGCATGTGTGTTTGTTTGTTTGTTTGTTTTTTTGTGTGTTTGTTTGTTTGTTTTTGTGTTTGTTTGTTTGTTTGTTTGTTTGTTTGTTTGTTTGTTTGTGTGTTTGTTTGTTTGAGTGTTTGTTTGGTTGTTTGTTTGCTTGTTTGCTTGGTTGTTTGTTTGTTTGTTTGTTTGCTTGCTTGGTTGTTGTTTTTGTTTGTGTGTTTGTTTGTTTGTTTGTTTGCTTGTTTGTTTGTTTGTTTGTGTGTGTGTTTGTCTGTTTGTTTTGTTGCTTGTTTATTTGGGTCTGTTTTGTGTGGTGTTTGTGTCGTGTTTTTGGTTGTTTATGTGGCTTGTGTGTTTGTTTGCTTGTTTGGTTTATTTGTTGGTTGGTTGGTTCTCGTTGTTTTGTTGTTTGCTTGCTTGCTTGCTTGCTTGTTTCTTTGTTTCTTTCTGATTTTCGCCGTTTGTTTGTTTGCCTGTTTGTGTGCGTTTGTTTGCGGAGCACCCCCCCCCTGTGAATTATCCAGGGTTTAATTTATCCGTCCCAGCATTGGCCTATTTACCTTTGGGACGCGCCATCGCCATCGGCCCAAGCTCGTGACATATCCTTGGGCCTTTGCCAGAGGGAGCGAGACTTGCACTTGCATGGAATTGTTTTGGCCTTCGTTGTGTCCTTAGCTCTTACATTGTATTTCATGGGCCATCCCAACGATGACCTTGCACCATTTGGCACAGGGCTCGTTGCAGTTGACCGCTTCTCATCCTAGGGCAGGGTGTGAAGCTGTTCGAACTACGTCTCTCCGACTTGGGCTTTGGTAGCTTGCACCTTTTCCCCCTTCCCAAGCCGGGTTTCTGGCCCCCTGGCATCGCTCCACATCCGGCATCCTTCACCCAGTTGTTCAGTGCACCATTACAATATCTCTTGTTTGTGGCCCAAAAGGTTAAACTTTAACTTGCCCATGTCCTCTGGGCAAGTGAGTCAATATCTGCTGTTTGTGGCCCCAAAAGGTTGACCTGCTACGTCCATGGCCTCTGGGCAAGTGAGTCGTTGCTGCTCAAGGAAGCGGAGGCCAAGCTGATGGCAAGCTGCCGGTACTTGCCCATCCAATCGTGCTGGGGTCATCGGGCAGGCGACCCCCACCGGCCTGGCCAACAGGCTTGGGGCGAAAGCAGGGGGACGGGTGCTTTCGGGTTTTTACGCAGGCCTGGGAGTGAAAGGAAAAGAATGCTTTGCCCTTGCGTTGTGGTGGGACAAGCACGTTTCACAACATGTCCGGCTGGCAAATTGGCAAGTACGGGTGCCTCATGAAGCGCTGGTAGCAAGTTGCAGGCATGTCGAGAAGTTGCTTTCAGGTTTCGAGGGCGTTTTGTCCTTTTGGACGCTGAGGCGGATGCGGAGTTTCTCCGGCGCTGCGTGCACGAGTTGCTCGCTGAGGAGATGCCCAGGTAGAATCGCGATGTGGCGACGGTGTGCCCATTCCAAGCTGCATAAGGAAAAGAGCCAGCGGAGGGGAAAGGAAGGATCCTCACCCACTTTTTTGTTGGTCCTGGGAAGGTTCCGGATTCAACTTGAGATGTTGGACAGGGATGTCATCTATGACAGGCGAGCCATATGGAACCGTAACGATGCTGTGGATGGACACAATCCTGCACCAGTTGGTGGCGGTTTATCCCAGTATTTACAGACCACGAAGCGTACTTCGCCGACCCACAAAAGCAGAGAATGAGTTGGAATGACCCCCTCGAAACCATCACCTATGGTTTCCCTTAAGGTAGTACCCTTCCGTTTCATTCCCAACACCCAACCATTCCCTACCTATTGCACCAGCAAGACAAGCGCTCAAAATACTCAACGGTCCGGTTTGTTTGGACTGAAATTCGTAGACTCCCTCCGAGGTGGGAAACATCGGCGACAGCCGGGTACTCCTGGGCCGTGCCGATGGCACTATGGTAGAAGGCAAGCCGGCCACTGGCAAAGGGATTCTATTTCAGACGCCAAATCGTTGCGAATAGTTTACCCTTAAAACTCAGTTGCCCAAAGCGAATCGGCACCTTTTGGTTTCCAGTTTTGGTCCATGTTTAGTCATGGCCCCAAAAGGCTAACGGTTTGTCTCTGGGTCCTGTGAGCAACTGAGATCATCATGACTAAATTTGGTTTTCAAGCACCTACAAGCCAATTCCAATTAATTTAGCCCCATGTATTACCTTCAAATGCGCGAAGACGTGTTTCAGTTTGTTCCTTTTGCAGTCAGGGTGAAAATTGTTTGAACACACCGCACGGGGTGACTTCTCCCCAAGTACCCGTTGCATGCTGCGTCACCTGGAAAAGGACGGTGCGTTGAAGTGCTTGGTTTTTTTTAGCGTGGCAAAAGGTTGATCAACCCTCCAGCTAACTACGTTACATTGACGCAGCGTTTGAGATCCTGTTTAAGACACTATTCCCAAACACGTTCTTTTGTGTGAGGGTATCCTGGGGGTAGTTTCTAAAGGACACGCGAGACTGCATTTTGCGGGTCGCCCTTTGAGACAAGCCCAAGTGCGCATCCCTTTGACTACTCTGTCACAACCTCGGGTTCCCTTGGATTGTTTCACGGAAAGTGGGCAACATAATACCCATGCTTGGGCTCACTTTTGAGAAACAACAGATGTTGAAGGTTCCCGAAATCTGCACCAGGATCAAGCACAGGACTTTGGACCAGAAAGCACAAGCTGAGGACAACGCAGTTGGCACCCTGGGCTTTGTCAATGGCCCCCACCGCCAGGCAGCGGCACGGATGGCGGGCTCACCACAGACCACAAGCCAGACAACGAGGCGCGGACGCCTCGGCAGCCGTGGTCTTGTTTTCCGCGCTTCCCGCGTTGGTTTTTCCCGCTCGCCCTGGGCTCCCTTGTGGGAGAGTCCGTCTGGGGTGACTTTTTTTGAGCGTTTCTACGGGAAAATGGGGTTGCTTCCCTTTAACCCCTGACTTAGAAACTTGGGTGACTTTGATCATGATAAAACCATGAGGCCAGCCCGTGTTTACACATTGTACCAGGCTGTCTTGCCTGACTTTTTCGAGGTCAGTGAGTCAGCAACAGACCAAGGAGCAATCAGCCAGTTTGAGAGGTGTTCCTTCGCACCAGGCAAGGGGCTCTTCCATGCAAATGTAGGGCATCCTTCAAATGCCCTTTGTTTAAGGGGGCACCCCACCGCACATGGTTCAACCAGCCAAGAAGCGATGCCTGCCACAGTGCCCCTGAGAAGGCAACGGAAGGGAGGGATCTCGAGGAGCTTTTTTCTCTCCGGAGCTCGCCGGGTCAGCCCCAGGAACTGACCCGAGTTGAGGCAACACGGCATCGGTTGCCTTCTTGTGCACACCCATCACTGCACTTTGGTGCATTTTGCTTGGATGTTAGGACTTTAACTTTTTGCCAACTAATGGGTTTTCAATTAAACCACTAACAGTTAAACCTTTAGCAGGGGAGCAGAAAGCAACCGAGTGCGGATGTGATGAATAGATAAACAAGAGACAGCACCACGGACAGACACTACCCGCCACAGACAGTTTTAGCAGCTGCACCTGTCGCTTCAGGCAAAGTTGCCCATGATTGAGAGATGATTCATCGAGAACCAACTCAAGAACGTCCATAGCTTGCGCAGAATCGGGATTCGTGTGTGAGTTGGTGTTGTGAAGGGGTGTTGCAGAAATGGACACCGTCACACCTGAGAGTGATTCATTTGAAATGGAGACACCCAATCACCAAGAGTGGGTTGCCCGGGAAAATGCATGCGGTTTCGGCAGCTGTTTGGCATGCTGGATGCGTTCCTGGAAATTCCGCACTAAGGTTTTTTGGTTTTTTCCGCTTCCGTGTTTGGGCAAACTCCACCACCTAAAAGGCATGACCTTTCATGGGTAAACCTGCGATCTTGCCCGGTGGCATAGACACCAGGCGCGTGCGCATTTCTTGCCCATGGCTAGGGGTAGCACCTCGCAAGCTCGGCAGGTGGAGGCAGCACGCATCAAGCGGACCGGCGGCACTGCCCCTTGGCCTGGCACCGAAACCCCCCGGACCCCCATGGAAACTGCCGGAAGCTTCCGGAACCCAAGCTGCGGACCACGCCAGAAGTTCGCTAAGGCGCATGGCTTTTAGCGCGGGGGAGGGCCAGCCTGGGCGCTCAACCGTGGACATTGGAAGTGCAAACCAGGACGTTTTGAGCAGAGACATTGTTGGAGCCTCTCAATCAGGACAATAAAATCCTCAGACTGTTTGTTAATCACTTATCCAGACGACTTTCCCTGTTCAGGACAAATTGCTCCAAATTGTCTGGAGAAGTGTTTAGCAAAAAGTCTAAGGATTTTAGTGCACTTATGAAGAGGCTCCAACAATGTCTCCCAAGAAAACGTCCTTGAATTGCGTGGCAGGGCACACCCAGACATTGCAAACAACATTGAAACCACCCAGGGAATGACAATGAGTGTTTGTGAAAAAGGACCGTGGCTTGGTGATGAGCAGTGTAGAATTTGTTGCTGAGTGTGAGGCGTAAAAAAGCAGAACTCGTTGCTCGCCGTCAGCAAAACTGTTGTTAGCACTCCATCTGGAAGATTCCTTTCTGTCCATGGGGGGGAGCGTCTATACAGGGGGAGCGTCTATACAGGGAGTTTCTTTTGATCCCGGTTCCAAGTTGGTTTGCGGAACTAGGTGCAGGCCATCATGGGGGTGGCCCGAGTGAACGGAGACCTCGCAGTGAGCCGCGCCTTTGGGGATGCCCAGCACAAGCAGACGGGCGGCCCGGGCCAGGCGCAAACTCGGCACTTCACCGGGGGTGGTCGCTTTGTTGGGGGTCCAGGTAATTTCTCCCCTGCAAAACAGGAATCCCCGAAAGGGGGATTCCTCTAGTTTGCTGGTTGAATGAGGTGGAATGACTTCGAAAAAGCTATCCCCGATTTGGTTTCCTTTAAGGGGCCCCCTGCTGGTTCATTCCCAACACCCGGACTTGGTCATTCCCCACTGGGCACCTGCAAGTGTTCCGACGTGGACCCTGCTGTGTTGACAGTGCGCTTCTTGAAAAAAAGGTCATTCGCCGGCTCGCCACCACGCCAGGCAAAAGCATCTTTGTTGAGGGTATCCATGGGTGGTATTGGCGCAGGGACCTATTAAATGAGACGTCCCCGCATGTTCAACCACGATGGGTGACAATTCTGATTGAAGTCCAACCGAACAGGGTCCCGTCCCCGTCTTGGCCGCATGTTGATGGATGAGGTTTCGGACTGTTGCGATTGAAAGTAGTAGGAGTGGTCTTACAACTATCCTCTGGTTAGTCGTCCCTGTCGAACGGTGCCCTTTAGGCTGTCACACTGTGCTCCATGCGTGGGATGCTTCTATATGTATAGTGGTCAGAGTGCTTGGTAGTGATGATTTTCACTGCACACAGAAGGCACCAAGTGTTTAAAGGACTTTGCCTCCAATCGCAGAGGTGCGCCCTTGGCATGTGTTTTGTTTTTCTTGTTGTCTTCCTTGACATGGGCCTGCCCGTGTCTGGCGGGTGTTTTGGCAACGCATGTTT